GGGGGGGGGGGGGGGAGCAGCAGCAGCAGCAGCAGCACATGCTGCTGCTTTTGCTTTTGCTGCTGCCTCAGCTGCTGCTGCTGCTGTTTAAAGCTGCTGCTGCTGCTGCTCTTGGTGTGCTGACCCAGGGATTTGTATTTTTGTGTTTAGTTATTTTGTTTTTCTGCTTCTTTATATTATATCTTCTTTATTATTTCCTCGTTTGCCTTTTATATTATTTATTTATTTGTTTTGTATATTATTTATTTATTTGTTTTTATATTATTTATTTATTTGCCTTTTATATTTTATGTCTTCATCTTTGTCTTTGTTTTATTTTTCTGTTTTTTCTTTGATTGTCTCTGTTTATTTATTTATTTTTTTGTTTGTTTTTCTGCACATTTTCTGCATTTAACTCGCCTTATTTATTTAATTTAATTTATTTAATTTATTTAATTTATTTAATTTAATTAAATTAATTAATTAATTAATTAATTAATTAATTTATTTTTATTTCTTAGGAATGAACGGAAAATTTCTTCGGTTTGACTTCGCGCTGCAGACGGCGCGGCTGTCTCCTCCTGTAAGAAAATTATTTATTATTTTTATTTTATATTTAATTTAATTTTATATTTAATTTTATTTTGTTTGGTTTTCATTTAGTTTTTCTTTTTATCTATTGTTTGCTGTGTCTTTATCTTTTATTTGCTGTGTCTTTGTCTTTTATTTTTCTTTTTTGTTCTCCGTCTCCTTATGTCTTTGTCTCTCTCTCTCTCTCTCTCTCTCTCTCTCTCTCTCTCTCTGTATTTATATTTATATTTATATATATATCTTATGTAAATTATATATACGTATATATATGTATCTATACGAGTGCATATATATAAATATACATATATGCATTCATATATATATATATATGTATATACATATATATGTATATGTATATATATATATATATATGTATATACATATATATGTATATGTATATATATATATATATGTATATATATATATATATATGCAAAGGAACAAGTATCCGCATATATATAAAATGTATAATATATGTAATATCATATATAATATGTAGTATATAAAAAATATATATATTATACTTATTATTTAAAGTACAACATATATGTATACATAACATATATACATCTATATATATATATATTTATTTATTTAATTAATTAATTATTTATTTATTAAACTGCTGCAGGTAAGGGCATCTCCAAGTGTAATGGGTTTGATAGCAAAGATATCTGCGTTTGGCTGTATGTACACCCGAGTTAAGGCGGCAATACAAAAACCGAAGGTAAACACAAACAATTTATATTTATTCTTATCTACTGCACAGACTTATCAGCACTTAATGTATATATATATGTATATTTATATTTATATGCATATATATATATTTATTTATTTATATAGTATGTAGGTTGTGTATGAAGATATACATATATATATATACAATCTATATATATATATATATACACAATCTATATATATATATATGAATATATATATATATATATATATGGGTGCAGCAGCAGGTATATATTCTTTTTCTTTTGTTCGCAGAAAGCTTCTGTCTTGGCGGGGGGCCCCCTGACTGTGGAAGCCTTCTGCAGCAGCATCGAGGCAGAGCTGCAGCAATACTTTAAGCTCATTGCTGTGCTAGAAGAAGATATTTCACGGTCAGCAGCAGCAGCAGCAGCAGCAAGTGCAGCAGCAGCAGCAGCAGCAACAACAAATGCAGCGGCAGCTGCTGCTGGTGCTGTTGCAAGAGTAGCAGCAGCAGGATAAGAACGGCAGCAGCAGCAGCAGGAACAGCAACAGGCAGCAGCAGCAACAGCAGCTGTTGTTGCTGCTGCCGCGGCTGTTGTTGTTGCTGCTGCTGTTGATATTGCTATGCTGCAGCCTCTTGCTGCTTTTGTTTCTGTTTGCTTCTGTCTCCTTCTCGTGTCTCTTTGCTGCTGCATCTTTACTCTCTTACTTGCAGTTTAAATACAATCTGCTGCTGCTTCTCTCCGTGTGTCTCCTGTGCAGCGCGGAGAGCATGCAGGCTGCTGCTGCAGCAGCAACAGCAACAGGAGCAGCAGCAGCAGCAGCAGCAGCATCGGCAGCAGCACAGAGCAGCAGCAGCATGCCAACCCTACGCCGCCTTGCCGTGTGGCTGCAGGCCCCATATCAGCGCATGCGTCTCCTTACCTCCTTGGTATATCATTTGCATGCAACGCATCACTCCTGCTGCTGCTGCTGCTGTTGCTGCAGTTGCTGCTGCTGCTGCTGTTGCTGCTGCTGTGGGTGCTTCTGATGCAGCCGATGATGATGTTTCTGCTGTTGCTAATGCTTTTGATGCTTCTGATGTTGCTGCTGACACTCCTGAAGCTTCTGCTTCGGTTGCTGCTGTTGCTGCTGCTGCTGTTGCTACTGCTGATGCTTCTGCTGCTGCTGCTGCTAATGCGTGCAGGCGGAGGCAGCGAAGGGCTTGAAGGGCGCTGCTCTTCTCTCCACCATTTATTGTAGGCAGCTGCCGTGTCTGGGTTGCCGTTGTGCTGCTGCTGCTGTTGCTGCTGCTGTTGCTGCTGCTGTTGCTGCTGCTGTTTCTGCACTGTATAAGCCAGAAATGGGCTCACGCAGCAAATGTTGCTGCTGCAGTGCAGTCCGCGACGCCTGTGGAGTCATCGGTGCCGCTGCAGTGCTGCTGCTGCTGCTCTTGTGCTGCGCAGCTCACTGCTCTTCAGGGGATTCGGAGCTGCGCGCCGTCGCCCTTCAAATCGTCAGCCTCAGCAGCAGCAGCCAGATGGATGAATAACAGCAGCAGCAGCAGCAAGCAGCAGCAGTAACCATAGACAGCAGCAACTATAAGCAGCAGCAACAAGCAGCAGCAGCAACAAGCAGCAGCAGCAGCAGCAGCAGCAAGACGTGTTTGTTTGTTTGCTGCAGCTTCATCGATCGTTTCTGCCTATGGCCGACGCCATCGAAGGATGGACAAAATATGGCCATCTCAGGTACAGCCAAAGTCTGCTGCTGTTGCTGCTGCTGCTGCTGCTGCTGTTGCTGCTGCTGCTGCTC